ACAACTACGTATCTCTGTACATTATGAGAGAGAAGATTATTACGTGAGTAGTCAAATCGATATTTGAAAAGCCTTTATTGTAATACTTATTGGTTTTTAATTTTGTTGTTATTATGTTGTAATAATTTGGCGGTGAATTCCCTCCCAAGGAGGCTCTAGTATCTGAAAAACGAGTGTCCGGGCTCCGTTATATAGCAGGCTAGGCTTACCCTATTCTTAAAGCTACCAAAACGTTTTATACTGCTAGCAATTCTGCTCCAAATAAAGTGCATTGTATACCATTAATTGATTCTAGATATAGTTTGATCATCGATGTGTTTTGCTTTATGCAGTGAAATGATTGATAGAATGGTAAATCTCTTAGGTTTCGTCACTTAAGGGAATGATTAATGAACGTGAACTGAATTAAGTGATAAGTTGAGCATTTTTTGGATCTTCTGTTGTAAACAAGGCAACCAACATAATACAAGGTGGAACAGAGATAACCCTTTAATCAATGTCCCTCCACGACCTCCACATGTAAGTAATTCTCTTTTTACTTAATATATCAAGAGTTACTTGTGCAAATCGAGTCTATCTTCAACTTTTCAACGACCTCCACATGTAAGTAATTCTCTTTTTACTTAATAATACAAGGTGGATCATTTACTCTTGGCATTCTTATTAGTGATCACAACTAAAACTATTGCATCTTTCCCATGTTTGTTTGTTAACTTCAGTTCTTGTGATTTTTATTTGATTAATTTAAATATATATTTAGTTAATTTATAATAAAATTTAAGTCTAATTCAGTGGCCAAGTGTAAGATCTTTTATGTATAGGGTGTTGGTTTGATTCATGTGTTCCCAAAAGTAGCCAATTATTTTATTTGAATTTTTATTTAAGTTAATAAGATGTTAATATGTATTAATGTCTAATTAGTTTTAATAAAATTATTAAAAAGAAGTTCACATGGTGTGGAGAAAAATAATTTTTTTTTGCTCGGCAAGAACAATTTATTAAATTAAAACAATAGACCAAGTTCAACTTATGAGCCTCATTAAAAACCTCCCAAAAAATTAGAGGAAAAGAGTGCTACATAAGAGAACAAAACAAGCACTGTGAACCAAAAGCAAAAACCAGAATGCACAAAACAAACCAATACACCATAACAGCCAACAAAGCAATAAAAGCTAAACCAACAAAGCAAAACCAACCGAAATGCCTTCCTCGACACAAACATCTCATGCAGATTCCACAAAAACATTTCCACTAGCACCATAGCGAGCCACCAAACGAAATTCTCGAAGAAGATTCTACTACCGATTAATACAAAAGATAATCCAGCAAATAAACACTTCCAGGTACCAACAGCTTGTATGCAGGAAGCTCTATCGACAAAGAGGACCAAATCAGATTAAAAAGCAACCAACTTCGCAACAATACAACAAAAAAATAAAGCTTAATCGATCCCAATACAGAGAAAATAGACCAGGCCACTTCCTTTAAAGCCTCTAATGAAAATGGCAATTCCAAACTTGATACTTCTAATGGTAATAATATTTGTACTCTATGATATACACAATCATCCAGCGACTGAAATATCATTGAGAATGCTCAAAGAAATGCCTAAAAAGTCTCCACTTAAGATTCTTCATAATAGCAACTAATTTGACACCAAAATCTAGCCCTTGCAACATTGCTTTGTGTTACTATGCAATGATTGTATCCCCTAAGAAAAACAAAAAGAAATTGAACTTTTTCCTCCACAAAACCTCCTACAATACAACAATTTCCTCCATAGAATCAAGAAATTTTTGAGATCCAATTGAATCAGCGTATCTAGTCCATCCATATTCCGTCTTCCTCTAGAATAATGATCCCAAAATTTAGCTCATAAACCTTACAATCGAAGAAACCACCAGAACACCTCTGCTGCCAATAATTCGAACTCATCTTCATACCACCGACTCCCAACTACCTTCTCAACAATAGAAGCCCTTTTTTTTATTCTTAAACACACAACTTATGCATCGTAACAAACATCCTCAATTCAAAAATAATAATAGACCCCATCACTTGTATATTCCAAGATAAAATCCTCAAATACTAAAATTCAAGAGATAGGGAATTTGACTCACCTTCTAATTCTTCCATTGCTATAATTTCCTGAATCAAAGCATCTTCAGAACCTTTAAACGCTATGCCCAATTCTTTCCCCACCCGTAACATTTCTTTGGCTTCAATCCTTTGTCTCTGCCATCTTTCATGTAAGTCAGAATCGGACAGGGATCTATCTTCAATTCAGTTGTTTTTTCCTTACGTTGCACCTTATTCAGATTTTTCTTACCTCAGCAGTTTCTAGACTTTCTTTGAGGAACAAAATATTTGTCTTGGATGAATTGAAGAGAGCTATATTTTTTATTTCCCCCCTTAGCTTTCACGTTCTGTCTGGGATTGAGCATTATAAAATCATTCCCCAAATTTGTTGGCAAACAAAGTCTCTAGACCGCATCTTCACATTCTATCCCAGTATTGGGCCTTTCATCTAACTGATCAGCCCCAACCCCAACCCCATCCTCATGAAAACCGTCTCCCATGGGAGTTTTTGAAACAGACGTGTTTGTGAAACCCATATTAAAATATCCTCCATCACCTTTGGCTCGAGCCGGCAATCTAGTATGGGCACTTCCTTTAAAAAATCCTCCATTACCTCATTAACACTATTGACAGCTTCTGCCTCTCTCCCCACATGGTACAACACATCCTCGTGATCCACTGCTAACTCGTTTTGCATTTGATCCTTCCCTGCACCAACTCTATTATTCAGCAAACCCATAATAGTTTCCTCCCCGATGTTCCTTTCTTCCCCGTCCTCACCCGACAAAAAGTTACCCCTAGATAAATTCCCCATACACCATAACTGACTGTCTTCATCATCGGAAATCCTCTCAGACTCCTTCTCCTCCGATGAGTCCACAGTTTTTCCTGTCGAAGATTCAAAATCGACAAGAGCCGCACCCACTCTTTGTTCTTGATTACAATTCAATGAAACACTTCTGGTCGTTGGAAATTCCACTACTCTTATTCTAAAAATATCTCTACCTGCTTCCAATTATACCACTTCGTCAATAGATTCTTTCCTAGAGGTTGCTATTAGAATGGTCATCTCCTCTCACCCCAATTCTTGAAGAGCATTTTCTCCCAGCGCTAGACATTCTCCCCATTGTTGTGCAATCCTCTTAAAAGTGCTATGGTTCCAGCAGTGAAGTGGCAATCCAAACAATTTAATCCACGTCACTCTTTCCGACGCTCTGTAGGATTCTGACCAAGGATTAATTTCATGGAAAACTTCATTAAAAAAACAACCACTTCTGCTCCTTCAGGACTCTTTACAGTTCTTCATCATCAATTTGCAATAGGAAATCTCTCCATCCATGAATTTTGTCTTAATTTCTCCTAGACCTCCTGCTTGTAGTCTGTCTTCCACCTGTCTCGAAGAACAAACTGTCGCCATCGTTCCTACAAGACACTTCTGGAGCTTACGAACAATATCCTCATCGACATCCCCTTGAATTAACCGAGACCTCCTTCTTGCCGATTCTTTCACCCTTTTTTCTCTGTCACTGTATCCTTGTTCTATCCTGGTTGTAGCAGATGCAGGATTACTCATTTTCCAGTTTTGATTCTTAACTCGATAACGTGCTTCATTGACTGATAAGCGATATCCATATAACCAGAATCCATTTAATCTTTGGATTGCTCTATTTGAATCAACCCTGTTTGAAAATCTAACAAAACCAAAACGCTTTCCTGGTCTATCATTTTTCCTTGCGATATACGAACTAATTACCTCTCCATGTCTCCCGAATAATTGTCTCAACCCACTCCAATGGTAACTAATTACCTCTTGAATGTAGTTATAAATTATCACTTCGTTAAAAAGAGTCGTCTCGCCTAAAGTGACTCGTCATTCTTTTTTTTAAAAGAAAAATTATAGTTGAAAAAAACAATACGTCTCACGTAACAAACCACGATATTTCATTAGGTTTGTAAGCAAATTTTTACAATTCAGTTATAGGAGCCATCTTTATAACTGATCATTTAGGTTTTAAACATTATTTAGAAAGTTAAGTTACTGATCCTAGTTGATAGTTCATTCCAATTAAAGAATTTTACTCGCTCTTCTGTCATTCTCGGTGCACCAAAAACAAATCTCTTCTCCATTCTGCTAAATAACTTTCTTGGAATATTGGTTGTTGTTGTTTTTCCCAACGAATAAGTTTAATGAATCTTGGAGATACATCATATGATAAACTATTTTCAAGTTTAATAATTAATGTGTCAAAATTTATGGTTTGAATTCTCAATTCATTCAGTTTAATTCAAAATAGCCAACACTATGAGGACTACTGGAGGTACACCGTTGCCCTTATACAGTTGGAACCGTCATCCTTGTATTTTTTATAGCCACACATTAATGTCAAACACCAATATACGCATTTTTTTCAAGCTCTTAATTGACAGCGTAAACCATGCTAAGGAAAAAGTTGATGAGTCGTGTAAATTGGCAAAGCTACTGGAGGTTGAAATGGCATATATAGCAATATATGGCATACAAAGGGAAATTAGGGTTTTGATGAACTAAAAATGCTTAGAGATGTGTGGAGTAATTGGATGCAGCGGCAGCCATGGAATTGTAGAGAACCGAGAAAAGCCCTCCGTCCCTCTTAACTGTGAAAACAACAGGTGAATGAGCCCAAAGCTAATTACTACCATGCACACGTCCCTTTCTTGCTCCCTCTCCCCCACATCTGCCGTCTCTGCTCCCGTCTCTCTCTTTCTCTCATACGAAGCACCAACATCCATTGGGAATGCCAACCATTCAATTTTTCTTTTGCCCCCTTCTTTATTAATTTTCTTTCTCTTTTATTGTATGTTTTAAATCTCTACCCGGGGCCTGTTTATGATACATCAACAACTTGTATAAATGCACTATATTTACAATACAGATGTGCAAAGATAGAGAGATAAAAGGGGAACACATTCTGGGTCTGTTTCCATCTCCTAGTATATTATAGTAGCTTCCTTTTCTCTTTCCTCTATCCCTCATCCATCTTCTTTGTATCTTTAGCACGAACTCCACAACCAAGAAAGATAAGATCAAGGTGTGGGTTAGAGTCCTATCATAATCCACTGATCAGTCAATCTATCAATCAATCAAATAAAAAAAAAACCTCATCAAAAAAGAAAGATGTCGTCCTCGTCAGCTGCTTTTTCACCGGACCACCTCGCTCCCTCCGACCAGCTCTGTTACGTCCATTGCAACTTTTGCGACACTGTTCTCGCTGTATCATTTTCTCTCCCTCCCTTTCCCTTTCTTTTGTCCCTATTGTGTTCTATATTATGGTTTTCTCCACTATCTAATTTTTCCTTGTGTATTTGTATCATTATCATTTCAGGTGAGTGTTCCTTGCACTAGCTTGTTCAAGACCGTCACGGTTCGATGCGGCCACTGCACCAATCTTTTGTCTGTCAACATGCGTGGCTTGCTTCTCCCTGCAGCTAATCAGCTTCACCATGGCCACTCCTTCTTGACTCCACAGAATATCATGGTATATATAGATTAGGGTTTCAAAATATTCCAACACAGTTAACTTAGTGTAGCTATTGCCAGTAACATTGACATATATATGCCAGGAGGAGATCCAAAGTACTGCCCCACCGAATATGCAGATGAATCTGCCGTACCCTAATGACTCGATTATGCCTGCTATTCGAGGAGGAGTTGAGGAGATCCCAAAACCTCCCATGGTCAACAGACGTGAGATTTGCTTCATATTTTATTTTTATTTTTTTTGGTGCTTCTCGTTTGGTTCCCCTACCCCTTTTACTAGCTAAAACGCTATAATCTACCTTAAACAAAGTTCCACGCAATCTGTTGAGAAAAATCCAGCTATGGTTTACATGTCTACAGGCTTTTAGTTCTTACGCTTTTTTCTTTCTTCCTCGTTTACACTTTTCTTCTTCTTCCCTTTAAACACTTAACTTCATCTCTTGCAATCAGTAGCTTCAAGCTTACAAAAGAGAAATCTTCTCAAGATTCATCATATCCAGGATTTTTTTTCCTTCATAGAAAGACTTTTTTTTAAGCATTAAACAAAAGCGTACGAAAATGTGACTAGATTTCAATCTTCTTTCTCCCCCGGAAATATAGATCTATATGTGTAGAGATGATGATGGGTTGATGATGAGGCTGAAGAGAGAGAAGATAATGAAAGCCGAAATTTACCAAAAAAAGTCAGCGATGTGATTTTAATGCGTCTATCTCATGGTTTGTCTGTGCTAATTTGTTTTTTTATATGTCCAGCTCCGGAGAAAAGACAGAGAGTCCCATCTGCCTACAACCGCTTCATCAAGTAAGCCAACTTTAACTCTTGATTTATTTACGCTACTCTTTAAACGCACTATTATATTTTAACTTAATCCCCTCATTAAAGTAAAGATATAAATACAAAAGAACAATGAAGCACATGCATGATATCGACATCTATCATATCTGCAGGGACGAAATCCAACGCATCAAAGCTGGGAATCCTGATATTAGTCACAGAGAAGCCTTCAGTGCTGCTGCCAAGAATGTGAGATCCAAGATTCGAGAATGTCTTTCTCTCTTTTAAAACTTGTTTTCTTCCAGAAAAAAATTCTAGGTTTTAGTCATGTTAATGTACTAATTTCTTTGTTTTTGTTTTGTTTTTATCTACTTGTAGTGGGCTCACTTCCCCCACATACATTTTGGACTCATGCCTGATCAACCCGTGAAGAAAACTAACGTACGCCAACAGGTATGATACGCTAAGACCTAACCTGCTATGATACGCTAACCCTAAACAATAAACTGGTTTTCAATTTTTTTCCTGCGATATTTTGTGTTGTAGGAAGTAGAGGACGTGATGATTAAAGATGGGTTCTTTGCTCCAACCAACGTGGGTGTGGCTCCCTACTAATAAACAAGTGGAAACTACTGTTAGGGTTTCTTTATTTCTTCTCTATTTCCTACTGTTGTTTAAGCTGTTATTAGGCGTCGTTATCAGTTTTTAAGTTAAGTTCTCCTAGAAAGACGTGGGTTCGGACTTTAATGCTCGTGAAACCTAATTAACATCTGGTGGACGTACCTTAATTTAAAGAACTCTTATGAAGATGAAGGCTTTTATGCTGATGAATTTATAATTCTCAGATGTTAGCCTTATGTCATAATAGTTCGTCGAATGCTTACTGTTAATCCTCGCTTAATCTTCCTCTTTCAACGTTTAATTTGTTTGTGTGTGTGTGTGTGTGTGTGTGTTTCATTTAGTTGATTAAGGGTTTGCTAACTAACTAGAAACATAATTAAGCACACACAGAAAAAGCTGTATTATTCGACATATATATCTATATATAAATGTGTGCGTCTGTTTGTGTCTTTGTTATTGCATTTGTGATGTGGGTGTTTTTTTTCCGACCTAAAAAGCCCTTAAAATTACTTAGTCTTGATAAATATATACTCCATGCCATCATCTATATTTTTTCACCCAAAATTATATTTGTTGAGATATCTCGTTTACCTGATCGGAATCCTCAAACAATAGAAAATGTATGGTTTTCGTGAAGTGTCCGACTATTATTTTAGATTGAGAGTTCTCTTGTTTCTTGAGAGAGTCCCCAAAAGTACCTTGATTGTGAAAAACATGATCAGTAGATTAAACTTTGATCGGTGCAGGGGTTCAATCCCCATTTCCGCCACTTCTCCAATTTCGTCTATGTTTCCATTTTGGTCCTGCATGTTCTCTAATCTATCAAATTTGTTCTTTCAAGTCTCTAAATTGTTCAATTGGATCCTCGTGTCTAGATCAACGGAAGTAAATAACAGATCAGTTTGACGTACAAGATAAGGTAGACACGATTTATGAACCTTGGTCGAGATGCTCACAAGATCCTTTGATGAGTTGAGAGAGAAAATCTTGAGATACTAAATTTCTGCATTCAAGGTTATGGATAAAATTAATAAAATGACGAAGATAAGCCCCTTTTGTAAGCGTTGGTATGTTGTAGATCTGTTTCTTTTCCATCTCCCACCCAAAGAATTAATCAATCAAGGGGTCATCTAAGTGCTCTAACCAATCAGTATTCGTCTAGGGATTATCACCAGGTCATCTACTTGAAGAATTTTCACATTCAATAGGCAAGCAATAAACCATTTTATCATCCACCCTTATCCATTGTCTATATCAAAGGCATGAACCACGACCCAAATTTCTCCCCTTACTAAAACTCTGCCACAACTTCTTCAAGTTTTAGATCAGATAACCCAAAACCGTGACATAAATTTTAAATTAGTCATTAAACTTCAATAAATTATAATTCAGTCATAAAGTATTAGATTCTATCAATTACGTCTTTTTTCTGGCGTTAAAAGTTAACTTGTATGTAACAAAATATATATTTTAAATAATTAGATTCAATTGTAATGTTTTAAAATTTAAACCATAATATAAGAAGTTAACCCTGATGTACATGACATCGTTTTGTCAAAGTTGAGGTGTCTTTTTAAAAAATAAATTGGGAAAAAGGCTTTATATAAGCTTTCTCATGAAAATGTTAGGGTTTTGAGAAATCAGCCCCTGACTTTTCAATTTTCAGCTTAACTGTAATGGTTCCATTTAAAGTTGGAATCAGGCCAATTTATACACCCTTTCCATTTGACAACTCCAGAGCCCACTTTCGTTCCTCTAGTTCTTACAGGCACCATCCTCCACCTTGTCGATCAAAGTATAACCCTCATTAGCTTATCATTAATTTTGGTGTTATTTTCAAAACTACCGTTTTCGATTCAAAGCAACTAGGAAAGTCATGGAGCTCGTACAATTCCATAAAAGTAGTGTTTTTATTATATCAGGTCTGTTTTAGGTGTCGATGAAGACATGGAGTTTGAGGAATGTAATTGCAAAATAATAATGGTTCGGTCAGAATTTTATGCAACTTTATTATTTCAGGTTAAGAAATATTCGAACGTGTTAGCACTTTAATGAGGTTTACAGAAGGGACTAAACTAAGATAAATGCATTTGCCATTCTATTAAGTGCAGGCTCTTTGCCTGATCAGCTCATATTATACCACCCTCTTATCTCCATCATGTTTTCACTTTCTGGTCAAATTTCCCAGTCATTTTAATTTTGATGCTTAGTAAAAGTTGAAACGAAAACCAAATGAAAAGCAGTCATGCACATTGATAAGAGAAGAAAGTTGCAAAGACCTTCCCCATGTCAAGTGCACACACAACACTAAAGATATTAATCCCATGCTACTACTAGACACAAACAAGACAAGGGCGACTTAGATCACGAAACTGTAACACCAGATAGAGAACCAAACTTCGAATACTATAACAGACGCAACTCCATGTAGATCCTCAAACTGCTTGCCTCTTCAAACATCCCAGTTTTGGATGCGGGTCGATTGTGTAAAGTCAAAAGGGGGGTGGGCACCGCCCAAATTGAAATTAACAAAGGGTGATAGGCATCAGCTTGGTTTTCAAAGGGGGGCTTGTTTTTTTTTCAAATGTTTGGCATCGAATGGTGCTCATTTTAAAAGGTTGAAAAGTTTGGTTAAATTTGGTAATGGTTAAATCATACATTTAGCCATTGTATTTTATGGTATTTACAAGATTAAGTTCTTAAGCTTCAACTATAAATACCCTAGCTCATTTAGCTTCAAAAACATCCCAAAACATTTCTTTCTTCCTATACTAGAGAGCTTTCTTATGAGTAGTGAGTGTTTTGTAAACACCTATAAATTTTCTCTCTTAGAAAAAAGATCTGCAGCAGCCCGGAGACGTAAGCACAATTGGCTGAACTCCGTTATCAATTTTCGGGTATTATTTTTCCACTTTTATTTTGCATTCTCACTAATCTGGTTATAGGGAAATTACTTGTACTCGGTTTATTTCCTAACAACTGGTATCAGACCTTTTGGTTATGAATTCTGTAAATTTTTTTGCGAGGTTACTATTCAGATTACTATTCACATAAATAGTGAATTTCGTGAATAGTGAAATTCGGTCGGCGATACGAGTTTGTCGACGGAGGTGTTCTAATACACAGCGGTTCGCAGAAATTGTCAGAAACGATCCAAACGAAACCAGATTCGAGTGGGAGCGATGGCTGCAGACGAAGGGAATGTGAAAATTGAAAAGTTCGATGGTGCGGACTTTGGATTTTGAAAGATGCAAATTGAAGATTTTCTATACCAGAAAAATCTATATCAACCCCTCTCAGGAAAACAACCAGAGGGCATGAAGAATGAAGACTGGGCTCTTCTCGACAGACAAGCCCTCGGAGTTATCCGACTGACGTTATCCCGCAATGTTGCTTTCAACATAACAAAGGAAAAGACCACGGCGGGTCTTATGACAGCTCTCTCCAGTATGTATGAGAAGCCATCGGCCTCAAACAAAGTTCATTTGATGAGGTAATTATTCAATTTGCGGATGACGGAAGGGGCATCGGTGGCACAACACCTAAATGAACTCAACACAATCACAACCCAGTTGAGTTCAGTGGAAATTGAATTTGATGATGAAGTTCGAGCTTTAATTCTCTTATCATCTTTACCAGACAATTGGAATGCTACTGTTACAGCAGTCAGCAGTTCGTCGGGAAACAACAAATTAAAATTCGACGATGTTCGGGATCTGGTACTGAGCGAAGAAATTTGACGGAGAGAATCGGGTGAAGCTTCAACCTCCTCAGCCTTGCACACGGAGTCCAGAGTGAGAACTTCAGAAAGAAATTCAAATCGTGGCAGATCGAAATCCAGAATGGGAAAATCAAGAACAGGAAATAAAGATTTTACCTGTTATAATTGCGGCAAGAAGGGCCACTTCAAAAGAGATTGCCGAGCACCGAAGAAAAATACCGGCGCACAGAAATCTGCCAACATGACGGAGGAGACAGGTGATGCCATGATTTTAAGTGTCAACAGTCCGATTGAATCATGGATTTTGGATTCAGGGGCATCTTTCCACTCCACGCCATGCCAAGAAATCATGGAGAACTATGTCAGTGGTGATTTTGGGAAGGTTCATCTTGCTGATGATGAAACCTTGAAGATCATCGGAAAAGGAGACATCCGACTAAAGCTGTCAAACCAGACCACCTGGAAGCTGACAGGAGTGAGACATATTCCTGGTCTCAAAAGAAATTTGATTTCTGTAGGACAGCTTGATGGAGAAGGATACAGTACAACATTTTCAGGTTGTGAATGGAAGATTACCAAAGGAGCACTCGTCATTGCTCGTGATAAGAAGACTGGTACTCTCTATGTAACCTCAAATTTAGAGAATATCATTACAGTAGCAGATGCTGATGAAAAATCAAACCTATGGCACCAAAGGCTTAGCCATATGAGTGAGAAAGGAATGAAGATACTTCTATCAAAAGGGAAGCTGCCGGATCTAAAGAATGTAGATGTCGGACTATGCGAGGATTGCATCTTTGGTAAACAAAAGAAAGTCAGTTTTGCAAAAATTGGCAAGACACCCAAGGCAGAAAGGTTAGAATTGGTTTATACTGATGTATGGGGATCATCCTTAATTCCATCTCTTGCAGGCTCACTATATTATGTCACCTTCATCGATGATTCAACAAGGAAGGTGTGGGTTTATTTTCTGAAGAAGAAATCAGAAGTCTTCGATACCTTCAGAAAATGGAAGGCCATGGTGGAAAATGAGACTGGTTTGAAAGTTAAGCAGTTGAAGTTTGACAATGGAGGAGAGTACAGAGACAGTAGATTCAGAGATTTCTACGCAAACAATGGGATCAAGATGGAGACAACAGTTCCCATAACACCGCAGCAGAATGGCGTAGCAGATCGCATGAACAGAACTCTGAATGAACGTGCCAGAAGCATGAGGATACATACCGGATTGCCCAAATTTCTATGGGCTGAAGCTATCAACACTGCAGCTTACCTGATCAACCGTGGGCCCTCAGTTCCTTTGGATGGCGGAATACCATAGGAAGTTTGGAGCAAGAAAGAAATAAACCTTTCACACTTAAGAGTGTTTGGTTGTATTTCTTATGTACACATAAACTCTGCTGAAAGAAGTAAACTTGATGTCAAGTCCAACAAATGTGTATTTGTTGGTTACGGTGGTGATGAGTTTGGTTACCGGTTTTGGGACTACGAAAATCGGAAGATCATTAGAAGCAGAGACGTCATTTTCAATGAAAATGTGATGTACAAAGAT